ATCTCTTGTCAATTTTGTAAAGTTACCATGTGCCTCTCAGCCCTGATCCTTTCAGATAAAGGTAAGGGTCAAGCATGGGATGAGTGGAGAAAAAGCGAGATTACGTCTACTAATGTGAGACACCCCAATTTCACAACTTTTGTGGGTGAACAGCAACCGCAGCACCTGGGGGAGAGTCTGTCACCTCGAGCTGTGCAGGAAGCTCAAGTGAAAACAAAGAATGTTCTCTTCCACCCCTAAACCCGGCACCACAGGCTGGCAAAACAACCATGTCACTTATCCAAGTCACACACCAGCTGTCACTGATACGACTTGCTTCTGTGTTTGTTATTCCATCCATGTGCTGTGACAGCAGAAACACCTGTGACCATAGCCAGTCCTGACAATCTGCTGTGCTGGACTCCGTCCCTGGCAGCTCCTGAGTGTGGGCCTTGGGGTCAGACAGACATGCACGACCCCGCTTTAGCCTTCAGGGTTCTGATGCTTGAGCAACCTTAACCTTGGGTGGTCGGGTATGGCCGTCGTGCGTGCCTGCAGTTGCTGATGACCCGTTACTGAGGATGAGTGAAACCACTGTAGTGATACTTCAAATCAACCTTCATAGTAAATCCGGAGCGGGAATTCCATGTACACCTTTGTATTAAACGTTTGCACGTGTGGAGGAGTGTGCCATGCTGTAGTTTAATTTGAGGTGTGCATATTGTTACTCAGCCCACCTTCTGCCCCCTTTAATTACTGGCAATGAGCAAGGGTCACAGATTGGCCTCAGATGGATTCTGATTGTCTGAAATAAGACCGATGGCTCCTGCCAGAACCTGTTACAGTTGCCCAAGTCTGAGACCCTGTGGGCCACGTTTGAGATCACTACTGCGGACCGACCTCATTCCGCCGCCCAGCCTCCTAGTGGCAGTGTCATCAGTAAGTGCTGAACAAGATAAACGATGCAGATTTGGTCCCAGCTTTTCTTAGTGAGTGACAACAGTGGCACATTCGTGTGGAAATTCTCCAGAAGCCAAGATGACGTGAGCCCTGTGTGCTACAACACAGATGAATCTTGAAAAACACTGTAAGTGAAAATAACCTATTAATAAAAGATTGTATAATTTCGTTTATATGCAATATCTAGAAAGCACAAACCAATGGAGACAGAAAGTAGATTTATGGTTGCCAAGATATGAAGGGAGGAATGAAATGGGTGGTTTGACAGCCAGAGGCTGCTTTTGAAGTGATGGAAAGATACTAAGATTGTGATGGATAGCCCAGTCTGACAATATACTGAACCACATTCAATTGTATAAATCAGATGGGTCTGTTGTATGCAAATTGTACCTCAATAAAGCTTTTCCAAGAAACAAAAGAGAAATTATGATTGTATCTACACCATTGTGTAGTTATGGGCATAAATTTAAAATCTGTGAAGCGTCTAGCATGGTAGATGCAAAGAACATTAGCTACCATTGTATTTTTACTACTAAATATGAAAACAATGTGAAAGTATTATAATCCAAGGATATGACAGAGACTTAAGTAAATTATATTAATAGAAGAGCAGATAATATACAGGCATATATAGCAGTGTATTATTTCATAAAGTTGGAATTTCAAATCAGGTCATGGATAAGTTTATGAATAAGTAGTAACTTTTATTTGGTCCACTTAGTTGAACTTCTTGATGGATGTTGCAGAAGCTTGGCCTCCTTTTAAGTTCTTATCTCTGATTTTTCCCCTTTATTCTTTCAGTGAATAATTAAAAAGTTCTGTCCCTGTGCTAGGCATAGAGCAGTACCACGGAGAGGAAATGTACTAAGCCTTAAAGATGCAACATTCCTATGGGAGAATGCTCATCACTGATACATCAGCTCATCAAGTTCTGAGGAAACTAGTCGAGCGTGTAAGGATGTAAAGGGTGTACTATACATATATACATACACACACACTGAAAGAACATATATGCTGTTCTTGGGTAAGATAATGAGAGAAAATGGAAATAACCATTGGTTAGTCTATTTTTGGTCCAAAAGTTAAGGAAAAAAGTCAAAGTTTTTACAAAAAACTCAGATTACATTTCAAGTACCATGGAGTCTCCACAGTGTCTTGGTGGAAACACTCAAGTCTGGGAGGTCTTCTCTCCCCCTCTTGCCTGGGCAGAGGAGCAGGGCCAAGTCAGATGCTGCACACATTTTCTATTTTATGAGTCTTCAGAGAACCACCTTTTCCTAGTATTTGTCAGTCGTATTTGTACAACAGCAGCTAAGGTGATCTCGTCTGGTTTCTGATGTGAAAATGAGAGAAGTGATCAGGGAAGAAAGAGAGGAACCTGGGAATGAAGACCTCTAGCTGGACGCAAGTGAAACTCATAATCTTGAACCCACAAGACACTCTGAACCCCCTTTAGCAGGGAAGCAGACCTTTGGTTTCTGCGGAGACTAGCCTTCGTAACTTGCAATCCTGTGATAGTCTCACTTGGTACAGATATCTGGCAGGGGACTCTCCTTAAGGCCTCAGAGGTGGGGAGGGTGTAGCTCAAGTGGCAGAGTGCATGCTTGGCATGCACAGGGTCCTAGGTTCAATTCCCAGTGCCTCCTCTAAAAATAAATAAATAAACCTAACCCCCCCCCCCAACAAACAAACAAAAGACCCATCACAACCACCTACTCTTGCCTCTATGCTCAGAACTAGTGAAAATCCAGTGGGAAAGATGTAAGATGTGAGGTAAGGGAGAACAGCTGACAAAACAAAATAATTCTACTTCCACTAATATGTATCTGAGAAAACCTAGGGAACATGTGTGAAAATGGATTATAAGGTATTAGACCAAGGAGGGTGGAATATCAGATTAGACTGAGCTATTTCAATGACATGGATGCACATTTTAGGTATTTTGGATTTAACATATTAGCTCATGTGCTTGGGGATGGCTCTATGTTATTTGGCTGGATGACTGACATTTGGACTCAGTGTTGAGCTACAGTTAATGAGGATGCTATGCCAAAGCTTTCCTTGCATAATGTGAAGGAGGAAATCCTAGAGATAGGAATGTTGCACTGGATATACCTTATGTGGTCTCCACAGATGCCTTTTATCAACCTATGATGAAGGCCTAGAAGCCACTCTCCTCATGAAGGTACTGAGAAATAAGACTAGTGAGAGGAGTACCTCCAACCCTGAAAACGGTGGGTACTCTCTTTTATAGGCCAGGTGTGACTGTACGGGATACCACCTTTGAGATGAATTCCCAAATTTCAATGGTTAAGATAAGAACCCAGCGTAGCAGAAATCAAGTAGGTAGCACTTAATCACCAAGGACCAGGTGGGCACATCAACTTTCAAGGGCAGCAGAAACACACCAGTAATCAGAATGCTTTGCTTTGTAGAGATCTTCAGTAGTGGCCAACTCCTCACAGTGTCCCTAGCAGTGAAACAGATAGGAAGCCTATTAGCAGGGATTACCACACCTGCTGTGATACATTACACTTCAGGCTCGTGGGTCAAATACTCTCTCTGGCTGCTACCCAGCTCTGGAACTGCAGTGTGAAAGGTGCCATAGATAATATGTAAACAAATAAACATGGTTATGTTTCAATAAAGATTTATTTACAAAAAGAGGAGGGCCAGATTTCACACAG